TACTGTCGTCTGTTGGACCGATCGTGGGAGGCAGAAAGCGATGGGTGGCTAATTGGACAGCGCAAAAAACCAAAACCCTGAACCTTAAACCCTAAACTCTCATACAGTCAGCCCCGAAAACTTGGAAACCGGGCTAAGGACAATTAGTGCTGGGATTCCCTATATGCAGTAGTCTTAAGGGCTGAAGGCTATTCGCCTCCCAGTGGGCCCTTTTTCCCTTTTTTGTAGTCCTAGGTTCCTTATAAGGGAGCCCTTTTTATTCTTAGGTTACTGGGCATCCGAGTAAACTCTTATAAGCCTTAACCCGTTACAACCTTAAACCCACAACCTTCTACCCTAAGCCCATGTAAACCTTAAACCCTTATGAACCTTAAACCCTAAACCCGGAAGCTCATGGACGGCTAAGCTTGCAAGCTCCTCAAAGTTGACCTTAACGAGTAATCCGAAGGGTCCATATACCTAGAGTAGGGGCATTCGCATTCAAGTAGCCCGTAAATTTCACAGGTACTTGAGGGCCAAGATATTTAGTATGCGGGCAATGGACTCTCAGGATACTCAAGCTTGCAGCCCACAGCCTATATCCATTCAGCATGACGCCTCTTAAGATTGAGCCTTTTTTACAAGCGTGATCCGAAATCCTCTGAGCTTATGCTGTTTTAAGCTCCGAATTTACACCCTACAGTAAACATTAAATCATAAGCCCAGGCCCTAACTTTCCCGAAGAAGCGCCCATGAGCCAGACAGTTGGAGCACGGAAAGGCGAGGTGTTTTGCTCCTGTTCATCTTGTTCGTGGATTTTGCCCATGTTCCAAACTCTAAGCCCTATTATGCACCATTCTGCCACCCGAATGCACCCCTCCTTACAATCAGTTGTTTACAACATGTGCCACTGTTAACCAGTCGCTATTTTTCTAGAAGCCCCATATACCCCTGGACGGCCATAGAAAGCCACACAAAAACAAAGGCCTGCGGAACCTTCGAAACCATAGGAGGCACCACAAAAGAACAGCTTGTAGAGCTCTGGAAAACCATAGAAAGCTCCGTTGGCAATAAATTAATGTGAAACTTTGGGGCACCATAGAAAACCGCATGCAGCCTATATGACCACGAAAAGCATACAGAACGCATCATTAGCAACAGAATGTCTCAGGTGTCCGAAGCTCCGCAGATTGGATTCTATGAGGCATCGACATGGGGCTTTGTTAGAGTTTAGATGTGTAGGCCAGGCAGCTTCAAATCCCGAGTGGATCTCTGCCCTATATTGGGGCTCAGGGGACACGGTATAGTATAGACTATATGGTGGCATACAGCCTTTGGGGAGAGCAGCTTTGCATCTTGGAGTTGTGATCGTTCCCCCACAGAATAGGTGCGCTCCACGTTTAAGCCAATTTCAAATCTGAGCACATGCAGACTATGTCAAAGTTGACCGTGGTATGCCAGACTATGTTATGTCATGTCAATACCATCTTACAGTATCGTACTGCATTGTATGAGAGACGCAGTAATGTTATTCCTTCTCCGCGAAGCTCAGGCTCCAACAGGCTTCAAGTGCCTTGCTGAATCCCAACTTTTTGGAAAGAGATGGCACCTTGGATGCTGGCAGCCACTGTAGCCACTCTTCTGGCAGACCTCGGCCATGCCACAAGCACAGCTGGTGCCTCGCCGGCTCCAGACACCTGCGACAGCTTCAGCACGCTCCAGCTGGGAACAGGTTTCGATACCTGGGCATGAAGCTGTCTATTCAACTCGGGTTTATAGGGTTAGGGTTTATGGCTATAGGCTTTTCGTAGTCTTTGCGGCGAGTCCACGTGGCACTACTGATGGAGAAGAGCCTGCAGTATCCATACGAAGGGTTGTACACCATCAGCTGCATAGATTAGGGCATGTCATGTCATGAAGGGTTTTTTTAATCAATCGTTTCATTGAGGGCGCTGTGCTGCTTTGTTTCCATGTGTTTACCTAGACATCTCGTTGCTTCGTGACCCCAGTTACCCGGAGACCCCAATTTTTCCTGGTTGTCAGGGGTATCTCGTTCGGGTTTTCAGGGTTTAGGGTTTGGGGTTTGGCATCTTGTTTTGGTTTTGGGTTGGGAGTTTAAGGTTTTGGGTCTTGCTTGGGTTTGCATGGATCGAACATCTCCGGAAAGGATGCAAAGGCGAGCGAGTCAGAGTTGCGAGGGCCGTACCGCCGAGTTCGAAGGCACTGGAGCCAGCCGTGGCACCGCATTTTAGATAGGCAATAGAAGAACATTTACATTTTTAGGCCGTATACACTTGGTTTATCTCATAGAACAAAGTTGAACCTTTTTTTGGGCCGGGGAGTGAAGAAGCCAGGCATCCATCACAAGGGACACATCTGGCACAAGTACGGGGCCCTGACATCGACCACCCCGGCCATGACCACCAGCAATGCCTTGACATCGACGACTCCGGTCATGACCACCAGCACCGCGCGAATTTCCGTAGGTCCTGCCTCCACATGCGCCTTGAGGAAGCAGGACAACTTCCCCGTGTGCTGGGGAGATGCTATAAACATCGGAACAGTGCCAACGGTCGCATTGCGTGAGCTGTCCTGCGGTTGGTATTGCTGCGGGATCGTCGAATCGAGCAGCATGGCTGTGTGTTGGGGCGGCTCTATGCCTCCAAATGTCGCAGCACCTACAGATCCGCTTTCCAGCATCCAGGTCAGCCGATTCCACGCTTGTGCTCTGAATGCTCAGCAAAGAGCCGTTTGCTGGGGGCTTTACAGTAGTTCGGGTCAGCTCGATGCTCCTGATATCTCTTTCAGCGCAGTGTCGACAGGAACCGACTTCAGCTGTGGGCTCCGAACAGCAGACGGGAGCAGTGCTGGGGAGATTTGAGTGGTCAATCGCCACCCGATGAGGCACTTTCGGCGATCTCGAGTTTTAGAAGTGCTTCCTGCGGCATACGCCAAGCTGACGGAATAATCACATGTTCGGGTGCTCAAGATGGTGATGGTAAGATCTCTGATGTGAGGGCACCACCACCTGCAGATGTTGCATTCTCCCACGTCGACGCGGGTTCCAAGAAAGTCTGCGGCATTAGGTCAGCAGACAGCCGCATCCAGTGCTTCGGTGAGCAAGCTTCCGCTCTTGGCTTGCCGCCCAACAATGAACCTTACGCCGAGCTGTCAGTAAGCTTGTTCAACTTTGGCCATGCGTGCGCTCTCACTCTCAGTGGAGTCCCGGGATGCCGGCGAAAGCTCCCCACCCTCGAACTTCACCGCCTAGCTGAAGTATAGAATGCCCTGTATCCCCCACGGCCAGCTTTCAGCATCAAGCTGTTATGCCAAACGGCATGCTTCGCGGCCATTTCTCATTGGGCTTTTATGCTGAATGTCAAGGCATCCTTCACGGCCAGCTCTCAGTAGGCTACAATGCCAAAAGGCATTTGTTTCGGCCATTTATCATTAGGTCTTTATGCTGAATGTCTTTCCGCCAACGTGCATGTACAGCGGACATTTCAGCATCTCAACTCTAGCCGTTGCAAAAGCCGGCACAAAAGAATGAGTGCAGGCTCTTCTCGAGCTTTCGATGTGGCAAGCTCCTCGGTTTCCATTGGTTGAGGATCGGCCTGCGGCTGTATCACTTTCATGGTTCTTTCATTGCAACCCCAACAACTTATAATAACACCCAAAGCCTGCAATGCTGGCGCATTAGAAGCGGAAGGTCCGTCTGGACGGACCTCTCTGGTGCGGAGTCCTCGAACTTGCATCAGGCAGGAGCGACTTCATCACGGGGCGGTACTACATATCCCTTTAAACCCTACAGCTTCCTAAGAGCCTATAGACTCTAAACCCTGAGCCCAGCTGAAGCTCTAACCCTAAACCTAGACCCCTAAGCCTAACCCCAAAGTCCCAAAGCACAGTCGCCCAGAGCCCCACATTCCTAAGCTCTAAACACCCAAGCCCAAGCCCCGTAATCCGCAAAGCCATACACCAACCTTGAACACCCACACCCCCAATTCCTAAAACTTGTGAAAATTGTTTGGAGACCGGCCATGACTCAACGCTTGCGTAGTTTAAGACCGCAACCACTCTTTTGCGATGTAGCCCCTTTCTTTCTCGAGATGTCGGATGATAAGTGCCATTTCTGTGGCAAGTTTAGCGTAGAGCTTAGACCTCTGAGTTCAGGCGTTTACTCGTGCGGCATCTGTCGTGCGTTGGACAGGGTTCGAGGTGTTTGCAATCGGCTTCCGGAAGTTGCTGCTCCGAATATCTTGAGCCTGATACACGATCTAGAAGCGCGACTCAGAGATCTAAGAAACTTTGGGGGCTCTTTGCCGATTAATACTACTGTTAACTTGGATCCTCCAGCAGGGGAAAGGTGGGCTGATGTTGCTAGGGTTAGCTTACAGGCCTCAGCCAAGGAGCCCCCAGCTGTTAGATCAGATCCGGCCTCGAGTAGTGCGCCTGTGCAGAGCCATAGCAGTGAAGCTGTTCGCAAGCCGAAACGCAAGAAGAAGAACAAGGGACATAAGCGGCGCGAGTGGCAAGATTCAAGGGTCAAGGCTGCTCGATTGCGCCACGCTGACGTGGAAGCGGAAGCTTTTGATTGGAGCGAGAGCGTGTCTTCCGACGCTGATTGAGAAGGCCGGGCCAGCTTGGGTTTTCTTCTTATCGTACCTTTTCTTTTCCGGGACAGATTATATATGGGACCTCGTGGCATTTTGAGGCGGCCTTCCAACAGGAGTTCTCGTCCTCGGACTAAGGATACTTCTGCTCTGTCTCCTTTTTTAGGAGGTAGGGTTCGGAAGTATTTCGACTACAAGGGTCGAGCACAACGTGGAGAGAGCTTGAGTGTCTCAACGGTGCCATCAAGCTTTTGGGATTACGGGACGGACTACGTCTTCTCGGGAGATTATTGGGGTTCACCATGTCAGCTTCTAGGGCGTTTGGAGTACATTACCACAGGGAGAGGGGGAAGCCATGCGACAGTTCTACTCAAAGGAACCAACAATATCGAATTGAAAGCTTGGGCCATGGAGTCGATCAAGTGCGGAAGTCCTCCCGAAGTGAGCGTTCACCTTTGCCCCGCAGGCTGCCCCCAGACCTCCCTCGCTCGAGGTTCTCTGCACGGGACGACCGTGCGCAGAGAGGCACCAGGGGATGTTTGGGGAAGGAATCTAGAGGGCATCGGAGAAGGGACCGGAGTAGGCACGGGAGATCTCGCTCGAGAGCTCCAGGAGATTTCGTTGAAAGACGTGAACAAAGGGTTTCCCCCTCTCCCCCCAGACCTTTCAAAGCAAGACAAAAGGAGGGAGTCCAACAAGACATCCAGAAAGACGGGCAACAACACCTTCGAGGGGACACCCTTGGACAGCAAGCTTACAGTGCGGAGGATCTTGCGAAACCGCCGCAAGAAGAAGAAAAAAGGTTCCAAGAAGAAACGGAAGAGCAAGAGAAGCAACAGCAGCAGTCACAGCAGCAGAAGCAACTTGGACAGCTCGGGCTCCAGCAGCAGCGGGGGCACCCTGGACTCCGAGGATTCAGGCCACCCCTTCCGAGAGGGACATCGGGTGAAGAGGCTAGCAAAGACCATACCAGGCATTTTGACCAGGCACGCTTTAGACGAGATGGGGCGCCTTCTGGTTCAGCATGTTGGAGAGGAGAGCGAGAGCGCAGTGCGTCCGATTCTTCTTCGCTATCTTCGTCTGCATGTGATGCTGAAGAACCCCGCTCCGTCCCAGAAGAGAGAGCTTCTGACTTTGGGGTATGCCCTCGATCGACTAGTCCAGCGAGACCTTTTGGGAGCGATGGATTTGATGGTACAGAGACTGAAGGCTATCGAAATGGTATTAGCAGGATCGACGTGGGCAGTTGCGCAAAACTTGGAGCTGGTACCTCTGGAGCAAGAGATGATAACAAGTCTAGCGGAGGCCAAGGGAGCCGCGAAGGAGTTTCGGCACGATACAAAGGTGCAGCGAGAGATGGGGAAAGGAGCAGGAAAGAGGGGATGGCAGGAGGAAGGAAAAGGAAAGAAGGGGGATGGCAAGAAGGGGGACGGAAAGAATCAGAAAGGAACTGGAAAGACAAACCAGTGGAATCAGGGGTCCTTGAGGGCCGATCCCACCAAGCCAACTTCGTAGCCTGGCCTTCAGGCAAGTCGGGCGAAGCCCCGGCATTCGCTTCCAGGCCGCTGGGAGTAATTGATGCAAGTGAGGGTCCTTATTTGGATGATTGGTATCTGGATGTTTTGGGCTTGTTGCTGGGCAGTGAAATATTTGGTTTTGGTGATTGTGTGAAAAGGTTCTGCAACTGGGGAGAAGCGACTATGGCAGAGGGAAAGAGTGAGAGAGCCAGCGTTTTCCCTTTGCCCCTGCCCAGCGTTCAAAAGTTGAGAGACTCGGTGAAAAAGAGAGACGCACGAAGTGTTTGGTTTTTCCTGGTGATTGTTGGCCTGAACTACCTGAACGGTGGGATGCATTGCCCTATGCAGAGCTTCACCGCCACGCCATTGCAGAGCGAGATTTTGGACTACCTCTCGGCACGAGTTGATTGTTTCCTTGATCATCCTTTTGTTTTGGAGAAGTTTGACTGGAGCGTGTTCTTGCAGAGTCGCAGCTTGAGCTATGCCAATGAAGAAGTCCGCACTGCAAAATGGACCACATGGGCTAATGTGAAACCAGCACTGCCTCAAGGGTCTATCGCGTCCATTGCCGCAGTAGACTTAGCTGAGGATGGGGTTCTGGATCTATTGCTCTCACCTTCGAAATATTTGGTTCCAAATTGGGGAGATAGTCCCGTGAAGTCTTCGAGGGTTATGGTATTGGATCAAGATTGGGACACTTTGGCCAGAGGACTGGTTAACTACAATCTCTGCGCGATACTACCCGAGTCAGCGCTTTGCCATCCTGGCGGAGAACCTCTGCTCAACGGGATGTTTGGAGTCGAAAAGGGAGAAGTTTGTGAAGGTATCGCCATTCACAGGCTGATCATGAACCTCATCCCGCTGAACTCTATCAGTGTGCCGGTTTCAGGTGATGTCGGGACACTTCCCCTCCTTCACCAGATGAGTTCACTACAGCTTCATCCTTCAGAAGAGTTGGTGATTTCATCAGAGGATATCAGATGTTTCTTCTACCTCTTCCGACTTCCATGCGCATGGTACCCTTTCCTCGGTTTCGGCAAACCGGTGCCCCCGGATCTTGTTCCCCCAGGCACAAATGAAAAGTGTTACCTGGCCGCGAAAGTCGTTCCGATGGGGTACTTGAATTCCGTTGGGATAGCCCAGCATTTGCACAGAAACTTTCTGAAGAAGGCTCAGGGGCCCATAAAACAGCTGGGTCCTTTCAATGAAGTTCGAAAGGATCGCACCTTCCCGTTGAGCAACCCGGTTTGGCGTGTGTATTTGGACAACTTGGATGTGCTTCAAAAGACCTCGCCTGACATGGCCATGTTGCTTGAGGGCAAGCCCTCTTCGGAGGTATCTCCTTTGATCGCTGCTTACGAGGCCAGCGGGATCCCGTTGAACCCCAAAAAATCGGCCCAACAAGAGAGAGAGGCGGAGGTGCAAGGTGCTGATGTACAAGGCTCTGCCGGTTGGTGCCGCCCCAAAAAGGACAAGCTTCAGAAGTACGTGAGTGCCACGCTCTCCTTACTTAGGAGGGCCCGGTGCTCACAGAAGGAGCTTCAGATTGTGGGAGGCGGTTTGGTGTATTTCGCCATGTTTAGGCGTCCACTCATGTCGTGCTTGAACTTCACTTGGTCGTTCATTCAGTCCTTCGAAGAACCTGGAGCGCGAGTTCGTCCGATTCCTGGAGCTGTCATGTCGGAGTTGAGCATGTTCATCTGCTTGCTACCGTTGGCCCACATAGATTTTCGGTTGAACACTTCGGATGTGGTCACCGCGAGTGATGCTTCGCTTACGGGCGGTGGTGTTTGCGCTTCTAAGTCTGAGACTGCTTTGGGCCGCCAGGTGGGACAAGGCTATTTCCGAGGAGAAACGATTCTTGAGCGCCCTGATGGAGGAATCGTTTTCATTGGAGTGCGTGATGGTATCTCGTCGGTCAGGGTCGCCTTGGAAGCTCTTCAGGCCAACGTATGCCTGCACATATCCATTGAAGCAGAAGCTACAGCACGCAGGATCGTGGAAACAAATTTTTCCGATGTTGTTTTCATTGATCATCTTCAGGATGCCACTCCAGAGATGCTTCTAAAGTGGGCAGGTTTGGCTTCAATGGCCAAGTTGGTGATCGTGGGTGTTGGGTCACAGGAGTGCGGGGCAGATGAGAAGGGTACAAGCTCAAAAGGAGCCCAAAGTCGATCACAAAATGCCCTCAATCTCGAAATGAAGTCTTGGCTTGAGCTTGTGAAGCGTGTTTTCAGTTGGTGTCCAGTTCATTGCCTTCGAGAGAACCTCGCGAGTATGAACCTCCAAGACAAAGAAGCTTGCACTCGTGCGGCAGACGTCATCCCCTTTCGGATTTGTTCGTCGGTCATCTCTCCGTGCCGTCGAGATCGCTTGTACTGGTTTGATTGGACATTGGAGCATGAAGAAGGCGTTGAGCTTTATCCCCCGACATCAGGGAAAGCAGATCAGCATGGCTTTGTTGCTTTCAATGGAAAGTTTCCGTTTGTGGGATGTCTGGAGCCTGGCTGGGCCCTTCATCCTGCAAGCGAGTGCCTTAGCACTTTTACAGCGGCACTCCCGAGCAAAGCACCCCGTGAGAAACCAGCGGGGATTGCTAGGTGCGATAACGCCACCCTTGAGAGATGGAAGGCTGATCGTTACCGTTTTCCGCCATACCAATACTTGCCGGAAAAATTGATTTGGCATCCTGCCAAAGGTAGCCGCCTCCCTTCCGCAGACGAGCGTGAAAGATGTCTCGGTTTCCCCTGCGGATACACGTTGAACGTCTTGGCCAAAACCGAGGCGAAAAGCAATCCCACCTTGGTGGATGATTTGCGCATGACGGCTTTGGGCAACGCTTGGTCCGTTGTAGTTGTGGCCTTTTTGTTGTTGCAACTCTTACGGCCTCACAAGCTCTGCCTTGTCCAATCCTTGCATCAGCTCGTTCTGACCCTCTTTGGCGATCGGCCAATGTTTTCAAACAGCTTGCTGGCGTGGCACCAACTCGGAATGAGCAGAAATGAAGAAGGAAGCAATGAAAGGAGCCGGCTGGTTCCGAAACTAATCACTTTGCTCTCTGGGAAAGGGAATGACATCCTGATACAGATGGGTGCCACCCTTCATGATCATCAACGTTTTCGCACCACGATTCCTTCGAAGCTGTGGTCATGGCGGACCATATGTGGATGGCCGTGGCCTGCGGCAGAGACAGATCACATAAATCGATTTGAACTTCGGGCAGTATACACTGCCCTGAGATGGCGAGTTCTTAGGCGAAAAGAACTGAAAACTCGTTTCATCCACCTTACCGACTCAATGGTTTGTTTGCATGTTCTTTCACGCGGTCGCTCCAGCTCCCGCAAGATCCAATCTTTGATGTATCGCATCTCCTCGCTGCTTTTGGCAACAGGCCTCCACCCGTTCCTTGCGTATGTCTCCACCCACACGAACCCAGCCGACCGACCGAGTCGGCGGATCCGCGTCAGACGGAAATGGGGAAAGTAACTGTAGTAGCCAAAACAAAGCAGGAACGAAAGGTGGCAAGGCAGCGTTTGGGGAGTTTGCGATCAAACACGGTTACCTCTCGCACCAAGCAACGGTACGAGGCCGCCCTCAAAACCTTTTATCTTTACGCTCAGACTCAAGGACTCCGAATCCCTGACGATGCGGATGGAGTCGATGAAATTTTCGCTGAATTCATTGAACATTTGTGGGAGGAGGGTGAAAGTCTTTCGGTAGCGACGGACGGGCTGTCGGGCTTGCAGGACCTTCGGCCAAAGTTCCGCGGAAGTTTGTCACTCTCGTGGCGCTTAGTCAAGACTTGGCAGAAGAAAGAAGTCCCTAACAGGGCTCCACCACTGCCCGAAGACTTGCTACACTGTCTTTGCGGCTTTTTCCTTCTCTCGGGACAACCCGTTGTAGCTCTGGCTCTTGAGGTAGCATTTTACTGCCTCCTCCGAACAGGTGAGCTTTTGCAGCTCCAAGCCAGTCACATCGACGTCTCGCCTAATTTGGATTTCGCTGTCATCAGTTTGGGACTTACGAAAACGTCACAAAGGTCCGGAACTCATGACTCTGTTACTCTTAGAGTTTCACCGGTTTGCAAGAAGCTTTGGCACTGGAAGGCTGCGACTAAGCCCTCGGGTTACCTGGTGCCGACCTCGGAACACTGTTTTCGCAAATCGTTCGACGCCGCGCTGCACGCGCTTCGTGTTTCTTCTTGGGGCTTTCGTCCCTACAGTCTGCGACGAGGGGGAGCTACCATGTATTGGCGGAAACACCCCAACATGGATTCCGTGAGACTCCTCGGTCGCTGGTCCTCGGAGCGTACAGCTAAACTGTACATCCAAGACGGCTTAGCAAGGCTGGCAGAGATGCAGTTTCAAGTCTCCCAGGCTCCTCTCAAACGTTTTTATACTCGTTACCTGCGGGAACGGTAATCGCTTCGCAACTCTTGGGGACGTGGATAAGGGAAGCAGGCTGGACCAGGTGAAGGTCCACGTGGCCCAATGAAGGTCATGCAGTCATGCAGGTTTTCGAACTCAACTCAAGCAGTTTCGATTAAATGTTTCAGTGCTGCATATGACCTTCTCTGTGGCAAAGATTTGTAAGATTTGTAAAGCCTGCAGATTTGTAACACCTTTTCCGAAGGTTCGCTTTTCTGGTACGAACACTCCCCAGTTGCGAGAGCGAAAAGAGAGTGGTGAGAGAGGTCTTTATCCTAGGAGTTTAGCGTTTTGAAGGCTTAGGATTAATTAGTTTCAGGGTCCGTTGTTTCAGGCTCGGCAATCTGTTCAGAGCTTTTGGCTTCTGAGGGTTTGGGGTTATCGGGTGCATGTGGGTCCTACATATTGCATATGCCTTATGCAGTGCGATATGAGGACGTATAGATCATTACCTAGACCCCCTCCTGACTAGCCCCTGAATGCCGCTTAGTGAGGAATAAATATATGACACAGAGGGTCCATATACACTACATGGTCCCAAAAGGCCATCCGCGTTCTGGCCCTTACTCCATAATGGTAGTATATCTGGACCCTCTTGGTGAGAGAGCGTTAGGAACGAAGAGGGGCACAAGTGTCAGTGGCAGGATGCGACCTTAAGCCTAAGCGGGTGCGTGGGGGATTAGACTAGAGGGACGACGAATACGAAGAGCCAGGGGAACCACAGGAGTCGCAGCACAGGATCAAAACATCCACCGACCTTACCGTCACCCCCACCAAGACCACCAAGAGCATTGCCGAGATCAACACGAAGACCACCTGGACCACCAAGACCACCGAGACCACCACCGCCAGCAGCAGCAGCAGCAGCAGCAGCAGCAGCAGCACAGCAGCAGCAGCGGCAGCAGCACCACCACCACCACCACCACCACCACCGCCACCACCACCACCACCACCACCACCACCACCACCACCACCAGACATCTTGATGAACCCCCGCGGAGCAATCTAGTAAGAAATGCTTTTCGTTTGCAGACGAGGCTTTTTTCGGATGCCGTGCATGCCGACGAAGCCACCAAGGCGTGGCAGGGCACATCTTACACTGGATCCGTGGTTCCTTTTGGGGTATACTTACAAGTCAGAGTTGTTCCTGTTGTTGGGAACTACTTTCTCTTCGTATGCGGGTACTTAGGACCGTCTGGGTTGTCTTCATGCATCTACAGTCACAGGCTGAAAAGTCAATCAGCATGCATCCAGATGCCACTTGACCAAGCCGAAGGCTCGACTCTAGCGCTCGACTGTGCCTGACCGCCCCTCTCCCTCCCCACGTGTGCATCATGCAGGGCCGCAACTTTACGCGCACAGCGCTGACGTGCTGTGTGGCAACCCTCACCTACCTTTGTGGTGGGTGCTTCGACCGGGAAGCACCTCGAGAATGCAAGCTGCACTTCCGACGACCAGGCGCTCTTGCAAGCAAAAGCGCTTGTAAAGGGAGGAGTTGCTACGTGCCCTGCGGATCCCAGTGCTGACACAGAGCCTCCTGAGATCATCCTAGGCGATGTTGACGTCGGAGCTCGGCTAGCCCCTGGAGAATGCACAGCCGTTCGGACTTATCCTGTACTCGAGGTACGCGACAACTGTCCAGGCGATGTCACATGGTCCTGCGTGCCACCATCTGGCTCTTCGTTCCCTATCGGTGACACCACAGTTACCTGCACGGCGACCGATGTTGCTGGTAACACTGGATCAGCATCCCTTCGTGTTAGGGTGCAGGACCTGAATCCGGTGCCTCCAGTCTTCGATGTGGTGCCGAATGACGTGTCCGTGAGCACAGACCAAGGACAGTGCGGAGCCGTTGTGAATTTCACTGTGCCCACCGCAACAGACGACTGTCCAGGAGTGCAGGTATCCTGTTCGCCAGAATCGGGCTCAACGTTTTCGGTCGGTACCACCACGGTGACGTGCACCGCCACCGATGCTGGTGGGAGCACTGCCTCGACAAGCTTTGTCGTCAATGTCGATGAGACGGAGCCTCCAGTCTTCGATCCGGTGCCGGATGATGTGACTGTGACAGCAGACCAGGGACAGTGCGGAGCCATTGTGGATTATGTGGCCAATGCAGCCGACAATTGTCCAGGAGTTCAAGTAGTTTGTTCGCAAGAATCCGGCACAACGTTCTCGGTCGGTACCACCACAGTGACATGCAACGCCACGGATGCTTCTGGCAACAAGGCCTCGTCGGAATCTTTCGTCGTTCCTTGGCCGTTCTCGACAATCATTTCCAATGTACCAGTGGCTGTAGCAGTGTAGCATCTGTTTCATGCATGCATGCAAGGACTATATGTAGGTATCCATGTATGTAAGCAGCCATGTGAGCAGGACTTTTCTGTTAAAGCTACTCTCAAACCGTAACTCTAAACCTTGGGTTCTAAACCCCAAACCCTGACCCTAAACCCTGGACTCTAAACCCTAAACCCTAAGCCCAAAACCTTCGAAAAGAGCCCAGGTCCAGGTCAATGACCTCGAGGATCCAAGTATCGGCACGCTTCCCAACATCGACGTGCCTGGGTTCTTGCAAAGGAATGGGTTTGGGGTTTTTAGAAGGGTTCCTTTACGGGGGTCTTGTATGGTTTCTGTAAGGGTTCGTTAAGAGTTTAGAGTATAAGGGTCCATGCAAAGGAAAGGAGCTCTTTTAAAGGGTACCATAGAGTTGTATGATAGGGGCCCCGTTTATAGGTTTCTGTAGGGGTTGAAAATAGGGTCCCTTTAAGGGGTTCCTTAAGGGTTCTGTTTCAGCTACCATAGACTTCGGCCCTTTTTAAGGAGGGTTTAAAGTCAAGTGCTATAGGGGCCTTAATAACTGGAATAGGGTTCCTTTAAAGGGGTCGATAAGGGTACTATAAGAGTTCTATAATATGTGGGGCCTTAGTAGTTAGAATAGGGTTTTGGGGCGCATAAGGAACCCCCAAAATAGAATTGGTAATTATTTAGGCCCCGAAAGGATCTAAGTTTCATTTACCGTAGCGAGGACAACCCTGCTGTTTACTTTAGATCCCCATTATGGCGTAATCCTGTATTCATCTCTACTGCCACTTTTGAGGGCTCTTGCTCCTGCTCCTGCTGCGTCTCTTTCTTTCGCTCCTGCGCTTGCTCTTGCTGTTGCACCTGGTCTTCCTCCTGCTTTTGCTCTTACTCTTGCTTGTGCTATTACTCCAGCTCTTGCTCTCTCGGTCCTGCTCTTGCTCCGGACCCCCCTATGCAAATTAGGTTTTAAAAGGCAGGAGTGATTTCGGGAGGATCCGCGCCAATGTGTTTTTACTATGAAGGGGGTGAATGCCATAATGCCCTTAGTCTTAGGGTCATTACGGTAATGTAGGGTTTATTTCGTCAGCCGTCTCATTTAGCAAGATCCCAGGTGCAGTCCTGCAGCCCGACTGCCGTCACGTTCGCGCCTACAGCGGATGACAACTGCCCAGGTGTTTCAACGTCTTGCAGCCCCTAAAACCTGATCCCTCAGACCCCTAAGCCTGCAGACCCGTAAACCCCTAAGCCTCTAGACCCTATAAACACTAAACCCCAAACAGGTGTTTCAACTTCTTGCAGTCCTTCATCCGGGTCCCTGTTCGCTGTCGGCGAGACAGCAGCTAGGTAGGCCTTTAGGGCATTTTGCATCTTCATTGTTGGGCCGAAGAGGATTCTGCTTTACGAAACTGATTCACTGACTCCTAAACCCTGAACCCTAAGCCGTAAACAATGGGCCCACCTAGGAAGTGACGTGCACTGCAACTGATGTGGCGGGAAGCACCAGTCAGAAGAGCTTTGCAGTACCTTGGGACTGACAAGTAGGAGCCCTATATATCCTTGCAGTTTAGGGTTTAGGGCTTATGCTATGAACTCCTGTTATGATAATCCCTAAACCCTAAACTATTAAACCTCAAGCTCTTACAGGTTCCATTTCGTGCCTCAGGTCTCCGTCCAGTGCGACAACGGCATGAGCGAGCCGACCGACAATGCGGGAGATGGCAGCTACTACCACAAGCGCGTTCCTCGCATCCCGAGGTTGCTGGGTTTTGATAAGGATTTTGATTCAAGTTACCATAATGGGACCTTCAGTAAAGAATATGGTTATGGCAAATCGAATGAAGTTCCTGAACAATAGCCGAGGTGGTTTCACCACAAGTACCACGGCCGCACAAACCGTGGTCGCCACGTCAGGAAGGGGTTTGACACCAGAACATACGGAGCACAGTGAGTGAGGGCCCAAGGCGCACAGGCATTTGGCCGCGGCGCAACATGCGCGTTTTGGGGGCATAGAGCTTCCCCACAGGTTCAGCTCATCTGCTTTCGCCGGCCAGGAACACAATGCTAGGAACTGAAAGGCGGAACCCGAGAAATCCCACAGAAATCAGTCGTTCTTGCTTCTCCTACATAGCCATGTATGCTACAGTGACTGGCCACGGCCCGCAATGCAGCATTTTAACTTTCATTGATTATTGCGGCGTGTGATTTGCACGTAGCTCCGTCCGTTCACGTAGCAGCCATGCGGATGCTCTAAACTCGGATACTCTTGAAATTGAAATCTAAAACCGTAACGTCGTAAAGTCTACACCCTAAATCCTACATGTTTACGGTTTAGGGTCATAGGAGCGGTGAATCAAGGATTGATCCGATTAGTTTAGGGCAACCAGCTTTGGTGGTGGACGCGATTGGCCGAGATAGCCGCGAGTGAGAAGTCAGCAGAAAACAGCATGGTGCTATCTGCCAGTGACACATCCCTGAGCGCAAAATCTTTGACCTGGAATTCTATGTACTTACAATGACACTTCGTTACCCTATAAACCCTATAAGCCCTACAACAAAACGCTGAACCAAAACTCACCCTATTGTATAGAGGCCTGAATAATTACCTACACTGCTTTGGGGGTTCATTATTATAGTATAAGGCATAAGGGGCTCCAGAACCTTATTCTAATCATTAAGGCCCTTATATTAAGACCGAAACTCCCAGACCCTCAACCTTCAACCCGACATTCTAGGACCTTGAACCTCAAACCCGAGACTCAAAGGCCCGAAATTATGATCTAATGTAGGGGCTTAAATTTTTGCCTATGCTGTTGCGGGGTTTCCTTATCAAAATTGTTATAGTATATTGGGCGCCAAAACCCTAATTATTAAGGCCCCTGTATTATCGTTTTCATGCTACACTCAACGGGGCCTGCAAACATAAACCCTAAGCCCTTGCTCTCCTTGTGCTTGAAGGCCGGGCGCTGCAACATCACCTCCAGACGCTGGCAGGACCAGGTGAGCTCAGGTGGTGGCTGGTGATGGTAGGAGGAGTAGTAGTAGTAGTAGTAGCAGCAGCAGCAGAGGCAGCAGCAGTAGTTGGCTTAGGCGCGGGGTTTTGTGGTCCAGGGTTGTCGTCGTCGGCGTCGGAATGGTAGTCGCAATCGTCAGCTTTAGTGGTTGCGCACAGCTGGTGCGTTTTTCGTGTGTTTCGCCCTTTGCCCACGACGTTAAGCTGCATGGTTTCGCGGTTTCGGGCTCCTGTCCAGATCTTTTCCGGTGTCCTGTAAGGGGTCCTTGCGGGGTTCCATTAAAGGGATCTATAAGGCAATAGCTTTAGGGTGCAAGTGGCAAACTTAGGGTGATTGGTGCAATCACAGCGAAGGTTATAGGAGGGTATACTCTGCACGTGGCTCTTGGACAAGACTTGACCCTTGAAAGTAGGGGTAATGCAGCCTCATACGATGAATTCCTGTCTCATGGTAACCCTAAACCATAAGCCCTAAACCCAAATCCCTTGTAGGGTGCATGTCCTGTTTAAGTTTTGACGGCTTTCCGCCATTGCCGACGAAGCTTTTTCGGCCTTTGCCCAGCTTCGGCCATGAAACTGGAATCATTCGGCCATCATTAGGTTTTCAAAGGTTTCCTAAGCTGACTTGATCAGGGTTTAGGGTGTAGGCTTTCGAAGTAAAGGGAACTCCAGAAAGTTGGAATGGTTTCATGGTAGGATCCCGTATAATTTACCTTAAAGGGGCTACGATAATCATATTCCAACTTTCTGGCTTTTACTGTACTCCTCATCCGGTGTAAAGCTTCTTACAGTCCGGACCCCTTTGACCGACGTCCCCGCCACCGTCATTGCCAAGACCGCCAACACCACCAAGACTCCTAAACCCTAAACCCTAAACCCTAAAACACCACCCTCAGACATCTTGATGAACGCCCCCGGAACAGCATCTTAGATGGTTTCCTTCTTTGCACACGAGGTGTTTTTTCTCTCGGATGCTGTGGCGAAGCCGCCGAAGCAAGGCAATGCCAGGGCAAATCTCCCACAGGATCCGTGCCTGAAGGGTTCCTGTAAGGCGTTCCGGGGTTCTTTTATGGGGTTCCTTCAAGGGTTCTAGAATGATCGCTTCTTTTTTGTTTCTGTTTTAGGGAGCCTACTGTCTGCGGGTATGCAGGTACTTAGAACCCTCTAGGTCATCTACAGTCACAGTTTCGGCAAGGGCTGGAGGAGCCTCAACCGCTTCAAGATGCCACTTGACCAAGCCGAAGGGTCGACTCTAGCGCTCAACCGTACCCCAAACCCTGAAGCCCTAAATCCCTAAACCCTCAAACCCTCAAACCCTAAAACCCTAAAGCCCTAACCCCTAAGTCCCTAAACCTTAACCCCCCTGCTCCTCACGTGTTGCATCATGCAGGCCCGCAATGTTACGCGCAGAGCTCTGATCTGCACTGTGGCGACTTCGGTCTTGGTGAGCGCGTCGATCGGCAAGCACCTCGAGCGTGCCAAAGGGTCTAAAGTACCTGTTTAGGGTAGAATGTAGGTTCTTTAGGGGTTCCATTAAGGGTTTAGGGTTCCTCGAAGGGTTCCTATAGTAAGTACCTATTTCGGAGAATGTGGGTTTTTACATATTCGGATATTTGGAATTACTTTTATGATGTGGGGAAGTATTCCCCATAAGCAGTACCTGGAGTTTTTGGGGAATGCACTTTCGACGGCCGCAGATCTTTGTCCAGCTTTTGTACTTACGGTTCGATTGCGACTAGTTCGATATCTCAATTTTGCAAACTTCCCTAGGGGTCGAAAGGACCCAAAACTTGGTACTTGGGCTTACATTAGTTAGGCAGGTCACTATTCCGGGGTGTCTTGATTCTTGGGTACTTGAACCATAAGGGTTTCCTAAATGCCGTAAAGCCTAAACCCTAAACCCTAAAGCCTAAAGCCCCGAATCCCTAAACTTGAAACCCCAGAGGGCGGTCCATTTACCCAAATAGGGTCCTTTGAGGGTTGGTTTGAGGGTCCC